ATAGACTAAAAATTGTATTTTTATTCTTGTGAATTTGGTTTTGTGTTCTTCAGCTTCAATTTGGGCCTCCACTACCAGTATTTAACATTTCTTCAAAGAATTTTGGAAGACAACTATCTGGAAAAATGACTGGGAGTTATTTAGTTGTGTTTCCTTTCCTTTAAAAGGTGATCTAGCAGAATGTGGAAATTATCAGATAATATCATTGATATCACATGAAAGTAAAATCTTACTGAACATTATTTCAAATGATTGGACTTTTACATTGACAAGGAACTTCTAATATTCAAGCTGGATTCAGAAGAGTCTGTGAAATGAGAGAGCATTGTTCCTCGCAAATGGATCTTGGCTGAAAGCCAAAAATACTCAGAAAGGTGTTTATATTTGCTTTATTCACAATGCAAAGATGTTTGCCTGTGTGGATTATAGCAGATCAAGAATAATATTCAAGAGAATGGGAATCCTAGAGCACTTAATAGTTCTTGTGCAAAAGCTGTATGTCTCTGACAAAACAAAGGGACAATGCCTATTTTAAAATAAGGAAAAGCATGTGTCTGAGTTTTATTCTTTCTCCATTCTTATTCAATATGTATGCTGAGCAAATAATATGCGAAGCTGAACTGCATAAAGAAGAAATATGGCATTACGACTGGAGGGAGATTCATCAACAAAGTGTAATACCACAGCCTTCAAAATGGATTACATCTCAACAACAAGCCAACCAAAATCCTTACCGTTGGACCAATAGACAACATCAAGACAGGCAGAGAAAAGATTAAAGTTGCTAAGACTATATTTTGTTTGGTTCCACAATCAATACCTATGATAACAACAGTACAGAAATTAAAAGAAGTGTTGCAATCAGAAGAGCAAAAGACCATTTGAGAATGCTAAAGAGCAGTTAAATAAGAATGAGGTCTGCTGGATGCAAGTCATGTTCTTTTCAATTCCTTCTTATGCATCTGAAAGGTAGACAGTGAATAAAGATGACAGAAGAAGAATTGATGCCTTTGAGTTGTAGCATCTTAGAAAAGTACAGAATATCCCATGGACTGCAAAAAAGAACAAATAAGTCTGTTAAGCAAGTGCAACCAAGGTGCTCCTTAGAGGAAAGGCTGATAAAAAGTGTCACACACACTTTCAACATATTGTCAGGTGGAAGAAATCCTTGGACAAAGTCATGATTCTGGAAGGGTGAAGGGTCAGAGACATAAGAAGACTACACTATGTAGATTGACATAGTTACTGGAACAACGGGTTGCAGAAGAGCAGAACATGTGAGTATGGAGCAGAATGGGCAAGATTCACATCTTTTTTTTCATAGGATCAGTATGAATCAAAATAGACTTAACAGCTCTTAAGAACAAGTTTTCAAAGATAAAAGTAGAATATAGAGATCTTTGCTCCATTATGGAGCCTTAGATTATATAAGGTCCTTTGTGTTTATCCCTCAAGTCAGATATTTAATTTCATTTCAAAATATTGCATTATCTTATTGTTGTCATGTGTGATGTCGAGTCACCTGTTGAGATCCATAGCGACTCTATGTTCAGCAGCTCTGAACATTTCCCTGTCCTGAGCCAGTCTCACTGACTGACTCCAACACACCTATGCCCATTACTGCAGTTACTGTATCAATCCATCTGATCCAGGGTCTCCCTCTCCTGCAGTGTCCTCCACCCTTCCAAGCATGATGTCCTCTTCCAAGGACTAGTACATCCTGTCCATGTGTTCAAAGCATGTGAGACAGAGCTTCAAAATCCTAGCCTCCAAGGAGACACTTGACTTCATCCTCTCTGAGACGGATCTATTTGTTTTCTTGGTGATCAGGATATGTTTAAGACCCTTCTCTAGCACCACAACTCAAAGGCATTGATTCTTCTTCTGTTATCCTTAGTCATTGTCTAGCTCTCTGTGCACAGCAATTAATTATGAAGTCAATGGCCTGGATCAGGCACATCTTAGTCACCAGACTGACATCATTGCTCTTCAGTACTCTGGAGAAGTTTCTGACTACAGATTTTCCCATTGCAAATTGTCTTTCGATTTCCTGACTGCTGGTGCTGAGTATTGATTGTGGAGCCAAACAAGCTGTAACTGTTAACAATCTCAATCTCTTCTCCACCTATCACAGTGCTGCCAGTTAGCCCAGTGGCAAGAATCTGCATCTTTTTGATGTTTAGCTTCAATCCATATTGAAGACTACAATCCTTGACCTTCTGCAGCAAGTGCTTTAGGTCCTCTTCAGTTTCAGCAAGCAAGGCTGTGTCATCTGCCTAATGTAAATTTTTTGTGAATCTTCCTCCAATTCTGATGCCATACTGTTCCTCATAAAGCTCAGCCTCCCAAATGATCTGTTTTGCATATACATTGAAAACGTATGGAGACAGGATGCATCTCTGACACTCTTTTCCTGACTTTGAACTATTCTTTGCTCTGTTCTGAGGACTGTTTCCTGGTCTAAATATAGGTTTCACATAAGAACAATCAAGAACTCTGGGATTCTCATTTTACTCAAGATTAGCCACAATTTGTTAAAATAAGATTTTGCTAGTGTCTGATGTCAGTGATATTACTGGATAATTTCCACATTCTGTGGGGTCACCATTTTTTAGAATGGGAATGAATATGGATCTCTTCCAGTCAGTCGGCCAGGTAGTTGTCCTCTAGATTTCTTGGTGCAGCCTGGTGAGCTCATCCAGGGCAGCATCCGTTTGTTGAAATTGTCAAATACTATTCCATCAATTCCTTCATCTACTTCGTGTGAAGAAATAAACTTTTAAAGAAAAATACAAGAAAACTTCAAATTAACAACTGAAAATCCCCAGTAATATTTTAGACTTTGTGCTACGTTCCAAGTACCAAAGTATTTAAAGACTTGACATCGGACCAAAAGGTTAGAGGTTTAAAACCACCAGCCGTTCTGTGAGAGAAAGATATGACACTCTGTTTCTGGAAAGATGTAGGCTTATAACCTTACAGGTAACCGCGAGGTGGAGTCAACTCAAGGTGCTGAGTTTAATTCTATTAAGTCCAGAATCTATTGAGTTTATTTATGCCGAATAAATTGTGCCACCTTCACTTTTATCATAGGCAGACTATCACTGGTAGTATCACATGGTTAGGTCTTTATACTAACCAATTTCTATAAACAAATCTTAAGAGGATCTGACCCGAAGTGAGATAACTGTGTAAATATGGAGGCCACATTACCTCTTTCTGCCCCGGGATTTATATTTTTATGTGTCATCTCTTCCCAATTCACACAGAAATTGAGACAATTCCTTCATCTGAAGGAGAAATACTTGTCTATACGTGGTGCCATTTACTTTATTTTGAGATATGCTAACATAAAAAAACCCAGATTTGTTTCTTTGGTTCACTGAGAAGTATTTGGTTTACCTTCTTTCCCTTACAACTACTTCCCTGAACAAAACCAGACAGACTAAAAGATTCTGGCTTTTGTGTGTTCTCTATTGTTTACGTGTTCAATGGAAGTCTACTCCATAAGCGATAGCAGAAACTTTCTTTGTAAGGTCTTTCATCTCTGAAAGCAGCTTATTGTAACCATCACAGTTAATTTTGTTATTGGCACATGATCATAAACTAAGTGAAACAGCAGCTTCCAGGTACATTTGCACATAATGACTACACTGGGAATTTACAGCTCTGCAGTAAATAGTTTCTTGTCGACTTTGATGACTCAGTGTGGTTTGATTATTAAAGCACTATTAACACTGATGGACGATGGGCAATTTCAAAGTTTTATGTGTTTCTTTATTCCCTAACGCACATCAAAGGGGATTCCCCCCTCACTAGGCTTAAACAGTGATTGTAGCTAATATGACTTAGAAGTTTTACATGATTTGTGGTCAGGAGAGAGAAATGAGATTTTCAGAACAGCAAATGTGTTTTGGACTGTAGAAACACGGCGAGAACACAGCCCCGGGCAGCCCTGCCATCCCTTGGGATGGTCAAATAGTCTGAGTGTTGGATCAGATGACGAAAATGCCACTTTAAGGCAGCTCTGGCAGGCTGGCAGTATTTTTAGAGTTATGGATAAACTGGACTGCACGAAGCAATAGGACACATTTTTCCAAAGAAGTATTTTGCAGTCAACAAGTTGAAATCTCTGTGATATATTGTTGTCAGGTGCCATCCAGTCAACAAAGGCTCAAAGGAACCTCACGAATAATAGATCTGGGACTTTTCCCACCTTACACCACCCTCATAATATTTATCATGCTCAAATCTATTTCTGTCATACTGAAGTTCACATCAATTCATCGTGTTAAGCATCTGCCTATCTTTTTCTGGTCCTCTAACTTTCCAAGCTTCATGGGTCTCTCCAAAGACTATTTTTCCTTTGAAAAATACATTCAAAGTAAGTGAGAAGAAGTCTCTAAGGAGCATCCTGGATAGAACATTTCCTTCGTGACAAATTTATTTGTTGTTTATGTAGTAGTCTATGGGATATGCAATATCCTTCTACAGCACCACTGTCCAAAGGCATCTATTTTTCTTCAAACTTCTTTGTTCATTGTTCAATTTTTAGAGGCATAGGGAGCAGTTGAAAATACCATAACTTGGATCAGGTGCACATTAGTCTTTAAACGGTCATCCTTGCTCATTAGATAGAACTTTGGATGCAAGGCAACTTTTGATTTCTCGACTGCTTCTATCATAGGGGTTGATTGGATCCTAGTAAAATGCAATTGTTGACAACTTCAGCCTTTCCTCCAAATATCACGATGTTGCCAATTAGTTTAATGGTGACGATTTTTGCTTTCCGAGGTTGAGATCAAGTCTACATCCTTCCGTTTGGGTTACATCTCAACAACAAGAAAACTCTGAGATATGGGGAAGGATATTGTCTGCACCTTTTGAAAAATATTCTTTGTCTGGTGCGTTGTTGATTATTTTTTTTAGTTTTGTTTTGATAAAAGCCAGATCTATCACTTTATACTCTGCTTCCTTAAAGTTCTTTTTTTTTTCATGTTTTCAAGCCTTTTTTATTAGAAAACATAAATTATTATTATTTTTATAAAGGGAATAGCCAATATCCATTCTTGAATGTTCTCAAACAAATTGTAAGAAAATAGCAAACTAGGATTAAAAAAACATTAGAAGATGGCTTTCTAAGTCATACAGCTTCTAGTTACCCTTTTCCTGTCCATTTACCTATTTCTGGCCAGCAGCAAGAAAAGAAAATATCTGATTAGTTTTGCCTTTTTTGAGTTTTCCAAGTGGAGCTTTACCTACATGAATACACACAAGACCTAAGGAAACGGCTCTCATGTTGCCATAGACCATGTACGCATCTCATAAATCAGGCATCCCTGCCTTCTATGGCTTCTTCTGCAGTTTAAAAGTCCAATGATTATATGAACAACTGAAAGCCAAACAATACTCAAAATGACACAGATTGACAACAAATAACGGAAAACACATGGAATACCCTCCGCTGTCATTCTTTCTAATAGACAAACATTTAGCGTTCTGTAAATAAAATTATAAATACTAAAGAAATGAGATTTTCACAATGGGGACAGAATCATCTCTTATCATAATAAATATTTTGGTACAAATTAAAAAAAAAAAACAACGTAGAAAAGTTTAGTACCTTTGGGTACTTTTCTCTAATAAAACCATACCTGCTTCAGAACTTGTTTGATTATAGCTGCTAACAATGTTGTTTGGTATCACTGGAGTGGAGGACGTTGAAATTCTTGACTGAGGTGGATTGGGATGTAATGAATTTCCTAAAGCCATGCCCGACTGACTGAGCATCCCACAGTTCCCGCTAGCCTGAATCTGATTTATTAAACCTGCAAGATGGTGGTTTGGGACTGGACTGTTACTGTGAACAAAGTTAGTGTTTGCATTGTGGCAGTGCACGGCTTCCCCTCCTAAAGGTATGTTCTGTGTCAGTGAATTCTGAAGAACACTGGAGTTCATATTGAGATCGGTAAAATGCAGCTGGTTAGCAGAGCAAGGCAAAGCAGTATTTGAGCCCCCACAAGCTGGGGAACTATTGCTACTCAAGTGAAGTAACTGAGACATTGAATTGATGGGAAAGGAACCTGGACTCTGCTTCCTTAGCAAGTCAGGTCCGGGTTTAGGAACTGTAGAACTATCCACTTGAGACTGTCTGAGCAAGCTCAACACTGTGGTAGGTGGCTGTTTTCTTTTCCGCATCGAGTCTTTTTGCTGAGACATCAGCTTATCTCTTAGTGCTGCTCGGCCACTTTGCCCTTCACCTGTTGGGAGAAGCATGTTGGCAGTAGGAGGGAACATGGTGTTTAAAGTGCTATGTCCGTCAGTGTTGCCACCGCCGGCAACAGTTCCAGAATTGCTACTGCTGCTACTGTTGTTACCAGCAAGTTTGTTTTGATTTGCTAGCTGTGCTTTGGCTGCTGCTGAGAGTAAACTACTTGCTGGAAAGGAGGCAGCATTGTGCTGGTTCAAGATCTGATTTAAAGGCATTCCCAGCAAACCAGGCTGACTCTTTACAGAACCACTTCCGGCAGATGCAGTAGGAAAAGCTGCACTGCTTGGGGTATTTAGTACATTACTCATTCCAGCAATCAATGAATTTGGGATATCCTTGTACTGATGATATCCATCGGACTTGGTAGAAGGGCTTGATGACATTGATGGTCTTGGGGACCCTATTGTTGACCTTGGTGACCTGGGTGGAACCTTAATACCACTACAAGTGGCTTGGGGTCCTACAGGTGGCATCATGAAATTTCCATGATCTGATGACGTGGAAGATGAACGTGAGGGATGCCTCAATCCTTCCGATTCCAGCCCCCATCATGTGCACTGGGGATGTCACTGGAGAAGGGGACAGGGAGGTTGAAGCTGAATGCTGAACTCTTTGTACATGACTCCCGTGATTCATGTGACCAGGTTTTACAGTTGGCAAGGGGAGATTACTTGGCAAAGGAACAACAGCAGGAGGCATGCTTACATTCATCACAGGTACCTGAGAGTGGACATTTGAATGGAAATTGGTTGGATTAATGATAACAGGGTTCTGATTCACTGGTTTACTAGGAATAGGGTCAAGAATGCCAAGTGGACCTTTCTCAGATGTTAATGGCTTTTTCTGAAGAGCACATGAAGGTGGAGGAGGGAGTGGTGGGCCTTGGGGTAGTTTGTGGTGGAACATTGCTCGTGGTATTTCCATATTAGTTGAAAAATTACACATTGGTTTTTTCATTACTGGACTCTTTGTAGTCAAGGTTGGGGAAAGAGGTATATTAGTCCTTCCAGCCATTGCACAGGATGACTGTATAGGAGAACCATGTAGCATTACTGAAGGTGGAGAAAGTGGAGTCCTATTCAGGTGAATAGGGCTAGAATTGGGAGCGCCATGAAACCCGGGATTATTTCTTGTGAAAACATCAGGGCTTCCAAGTAGGTCAGTCCTTGGAGAGATAGAGCCATCTCCATATATCTGGGATCCTGATGATGCTGGACTGGACAGGCCGCCATGGTTGCCCCGGAATGGAGATTTCTGTCCATGTTCACTGCTGCCCAATCTCTGCCGGGGGTAGACGGGGTGAAGTTCTTGTTGCTGGCTCCCAGGCAGTTCTTGTACATATAATCTTCCCATGGCGTTTGATGATCCAATCATTAACTTGAAAGGATGCTTACATTCAGGCATTACAGAATTTGTAATTCCTTCATGTGACTTATTTCTTACTAATCTTGGAGTTGCTGCCCGAGAAGGTACTACTGGAGTTGCATTTGTTCCTCCTCCAGGACTGGTGAGCACCAGAGAAGGATGTGGGGCTTCCATGCTTTTATGAAGTGTGGCCACTGCAATGATCTTTCTCTTATGTATGCATAGCTTAGTGACATCTTCATCTGCCTTAACATCTTCTGCAGTTCTTTGTTTTACAGCAGCACCAGGATCAAAATTAAACACCTTGGGAAGGATAAGAGGACATTCCAAGCCACACTTGCATGTTCCGTCAGTAAGCAGGTATGTTTTAACCTGCTCCAAGCAAGATAACAAAGACCCACTGGGACTGACATAAAGCACTCCATTTTGATCCACTCGACGCTGCCAACCCACAGGAACTTGTATAGCTGGAAGACCTCCATCCTTGTCCCCTACGTCACACTCCTTGCCTCCATTCATTTTCTGTGTCTGCTTGGGACTCTGCTTGAAATGGGGACGAGGAGGAGTGTTGAGTTTTTATTTCAACATTTTGTCTTGGACTTCGATGGTGGCCTAAAATAACCTCTATTGTTTAGAAATCAGTCTCATTTTTACAGTGGGAGTCGGTTAATATTTCCAGGTACTACCCGCCTTTATTGGCCACATTCTTTAAACTTTTTCTTTATCTTCCAATCTGAGTCCAAGGTGGTGCAGATTGGTTCATCAGATGTTTTCATGTCTTCAACTTCCAATAATGTAGCCTGAAAAACTGGATAATGTGGGAACACTAGGTCAACATTCCTACCTTGCCACAATTATCTGGAGTGGAGCAGGAGTTGCTCCTCCAGAAAGGACTTGGCTCTCCAGTGCACTGCAGTGGCTTCCTGCTTCATTCCCACCAGCCTGCCCTCTGTAGGCGCTTGGGTTTCCGACCTGTTACTGTAGGTATGCAGGCTGATTTTTTCCCCAGACTGGTGGGTGTTGGAGACTATCAGTTGCAGTGAAGCTGAAAAGTGCTTCCTTAAAGTTCTAAAAGTTAAAATGTTCAATATTTTGATCTCCTTTACAGGTAGGAAAAAATTTCATCCACTAGGTATTACCTTTAAGCAGCATTTTGGTACTGTCATAGAAACTTTTCTCAAGGTTTATTCTTATCAGGACTAAAGCCATTAGGGTTCACATCCACACAATCCACTATCCACACAAACTTCATGAATGCTACCTCCATGAGAAGGAGGAAAGCTAATTTGTTCTGTCATTTCTTCTTGTTTTGTTTTGCTTTTTTTTTTTAAATGCACTCAATTTATTCAGTGACTAAGTGGGGGCAATATCAAGGGGATTATTAATGCATAGTTCACATTTTAGAACTTTTCCATTTCCTGCCTTTTTATCATGCAAAGTTCATTACTACTACAATTAAAACTGAACACTTTTGAAATTTTTTTTTTTCAGAGAAACTATTTTATTGAATTTTTCTTAAAATTTTATACTGGTTTATTTACAAAGTTTGTCTATGTTTAGAGTTAAATATCACATATTGGCCAAACAAGAAAACTTTTATATTTTTGTGTGATATAATATTAAAGACGCTCAGTTGCTGTATATTAAGTTGTATATTAAGTCTATCCACAGAGGTTTTCACAGAAAGTCTTCGTAATATGCTTGTGAAAAATACGCAATTGACACCCTATGAAGCACAGAAGTATTTTGAAACATGAGAGGTATTAGAAATAACCAGAAAGAAACTCTGTGCTTTTTTTGCTTACTGTGATACCATAAATAGTTATGGTGATAATTTAACAATTTAAATTGTGTCCTATAATTATTTAATATCATGCTGTCTATTATATTCCCTGATTTGTGCCAATTTTAAACTTTGGAAGAGAGGTAATGAGTTAGAACTTTTAGAAAATTGTGCTTTGATTTTCTTCAAGGTTTCTTGTACCTACACAACAATATTTGTTTGTTTCTCTTTTAATTGATTTAAACATTAACATTAAAAAGTATACATCTTGAACATATCAAGAAATGTCTCGTCTAACATTTTAGAAGTTGGACAGTATAATAATTGATGCTATATTAGTTCATTTTTGCTAATAGCAAGGACCTCATTTGTGCTAAGAAGTTAAGATAAACAAATCCAAAAATAGGGATGCAGTACAAGAGTGCTAATAGACATACTAATGAATTGCTCCCTTCTTATTGTAACTTAAACCCTTTCTTTCTGTAAGTATGCTTTAGTTAGTGGGAAAAATATTTAGAGTATTTAACAAATTAACTTCAGAAAAATGAGGTTGGCAAATATTTTAAATTATTCAAAATACTTAGTGAAGCATCAAATTAAAATTTCCTGGTTTAAAACAGAAGTGCCAGCAATTGCTAGATGGGATTATTGCACCATTAATGATACTGATATTTCCTTTGATTTAATTTTGATGCTTTCCTATTTGATGATTTGGAACCAAAAGACAGAACTTTATTTTAAATAATTAATTTAAGCCTGATGAAATAGATTCTTTTGACTTAGAATCTGGTTTACTTGGAAAATTAAATATATGCATATTTCCCATATATATTGTTGTTGTCATTATGTGCTATTGAGTCACCTATGACTCATAGCGACCCATGTACAACAGCTCTCTACTCTGCTCTATCCTATGCCAATCTCACTGTCTCCAACACACTTACCCCATTACACTAGTTACTGTGTAGTTACTTAGTCATGTTTCCCAATATGAGGGCTCAGCCTCAGGTGTCATATCTGCTCATCTACTCTAAGCGTTTTGCCCTATTGTCTGTAGGGTTTTCAAAGGCCTGTTACTTCAGAAGTGGATGGCCAATCTTTCTTCCTCGTCTGTCTTGGTTTGGATACTCAGCTTTGGAACTATATGTATACAAAAATCATAAATTCTAGGTCAAAAGATTATATATATTTCTTTAGGACTGAATAAAATATATATATATATATATAAATATATATAAATAAATAAAAAAATATATATATACTACCAGTAACGAGGGAGCTCTGATTCCTTCATAGCAAAAAGCTTCATTACCTCACAAGGGCACGCAGTTGGAAGCTACCAGCTATTGGTCAGTTCTGTGTGTATGGTACTCAACAACAACAGCAACATTACCAGAAAGGGTATATTATCTAAATAGTATCCTAATTTTTGCTAAATTTTTATTTTTTTTGCAACAAAATTGGAAAACTTATAATTATGACATGGCCAATAACCAAGCAGAAATCATGCAATGAAAAGTGGAAAAAGAAAATCACGCTCGATGAATATGTATAAAAAGAACAAATAATTAATCAATTATGGTGACATTGTTAAATCAGGTTGCTAGCCATAAGATTGATGTTTTAAATCTACCAGGATCTAGATGGAGGAGAGAGACGGAGAGTCTCCTCCTGTAAACATTTATAGCCTCAGAAACTCAACAGAGGACTGTTATGAGTAGGACCTATTTCAACAACAAAGGTCTTGGGTTTGTATGCATTCATTGAGGACCCTTGGTGGCATAGTGAATGTTTTGTTGGGCTACTAGTCCAAAGGTTGACTGTTTGAATCCACCAGCAGCTCTGCAAAAGAAAGATGGACAATCAATCTCCTTCCTAAAAATTAATAACCTAGAGAAAACCATTTGGGTTGCTGTGAGTTGGAATCAATCCCACAGAAGTAAATACTTTTTGTTGTTGTTCTTTGGTTTGGGGTTTGTGTATTTATTAAGGCAATAATAGCAGAATTGATTATTTTTGGGCATTCAAAAAAAAGTATTCACTTATTTTTGTTAGAACACTACAGCATAGTTCTATAAGCAATGTTGAGAAAAACATACCCACTGATAGTATAACCACTCTTACTGCTAATGAGTTATTAATTGAATATTTATTTGCCATATTTTATGACTCACAGTGAGGAAATTGTGTTCACTGATAGTGTGGTTCAGGGTGACTTCTTTGTACACTGTAGTCTTAATTGTGCGAAGTCTTCTGAGTTCGGTGGTTAATCAGTGCATATCCAAAAGTTCATTAGTTAGTTACTAAACTCTCTAGGGGACTCTTGCTGCTAAATTCACAAGAAAATAAATCTACTTATTAGGCTATATAGGCATTAGCTTAAAATAAGAACTTACAAGTATCATGGAAATCAAAACCAATACAGTTACAGGAAAACTACATGGAAAATCAAATTAAAATTGAGATATTGCTTATTGAGCAATAAGTCAAAGCAAGAGAAGCTTGTTTTATGATTGAAGTAGTTAATAGTGCTAACTTATTTCAACCTTGTACATTTGTCCAGATCTTTAGGACTTGACTTCCAATTAACTAATATTTCTTTGACATGGTAGCCAATTTGTGTTTTGGGAGTCACTGTGCTTCTTAGTGGCCTAGCAATCCTGAAGGTACACTGTTCGAATCACCAACTGTTCTGTGGAATAAATATGGGCAATCTCCTTCCATGCAATTAAATGCCTCTGGAGGGTCAGCTATGTGTCAATTCTAACTCATTGGAACACAATAACAACAACATTATGACCTAGCATAAGCCCTGGTGGTGTAGTGGTTAAAGGATTTTGCTGCTAACCCACCAGCCCTTCCTTGGGAGAAAGATGATTCCTTTTGCTCCTATAAAGATTTAAGATTGAGACATTCTATTCTGAGTTATAAACTTGCTGTGAATCTACATTGGCTTAAAAGCAGTGTTTTATTTCCATGCAGGTGTGATTTTTTTTAATATGTTGTTGTTATGTGCCATCGAGCCGTTTCCGACTCATAGCTACCCTATGCACAACAGCTCTAAACCCTGCTCTATCCTGCGCCAACCGCACTGCCTCTGACACACCCATCCTGATTACCCCAGTCACCGAAACAATCCATCTCATAGAGGGTCTTCCCCTCCTGCACTATCCCTCCACCCTCCCAAGCACGATGTCCCTCTCCA